GGGCCTCTGTGTGGGTCAGATGTGCTATGAGGGCATCACTCCTTCAACAGCCCAGCTTCCAGCAAACTGGCCCTGCAGAAGCCCTCTTGTGCAATCTTATACTTCTGCACAGCATAACCAGTTATTTGCATGAGCATGAGACTCATATCTCCCTTCAGAAGCCTGATCCCCTGATCCCCTGTAAGGAACTACTGATCTGATGAAGGGTCTGGGAAATAGTTGGACAAAACTGAAAGTGGGAGCCTAAAGCAAAGCCCAGCCAGAGCAGGGGAAATGTTTTTCCTTGCTGGTTCAGATGGACATAAAAGCTCACTAATGAAGTCAGACAACTTACAAAATATCAACACACAAAAATGCTCTAGCTTGGGGTTTCTTGTTCACATGATTCCAAAATCTGGACCTGCAGCCTTCTGCCATTGTGGTGCACACACAGTTACACTGTATGCAGGAGATTTATGGATTTCAGAGCATTAGAAGATTCATCTTTTAAAGAAAATGTCACTTTGGAGCCCAGTTGTAACACAAGCTGACTACTCCCTGTGATTGCCTACTGATGAATGATTTAGTTGGAGCAGCTGTCACTTTGAAACAGTACTACTTCTGCTCAATAATATTTAAATACATTGTTTTGACTTTGTTTTACGTTTCAGAATAAGAGCCAAGGATTGAGTTTTGTCCGTATCCACGCACCTTGGCAAGTGCTTAGTCGAGAAGCAGAACTCCTCAAAATAAAAATGCCCACCAAAAAGGTAGGTATCTCCCATTTCCCATCAACAAATTGTATGACTGAGGGAGGAGGGTTCAGAATGGTCATTAAATGCATAGAAACCCATGGAGTTGCTTTATTTCCAAAATCAGAGCAGAGGAGCAGTCAGGCTTGTTGTTTGACATGATGATTTCGTGTTTTACATGAAATATTTTGGGATGATTTACTGCTCAGAGTTGTATTTGAGACGGGATTTCCGAAGGGGTTTTCAAAGGCAGCTGGTTGATGGTCTGCATCCAGGAGAGTGATGACAGAGGTAGCTTTTAAGGGGGGGCTTTGAAAATTGAGAAGGCAGTGGCTGCTTGGATTTTTGTCAAGGACTTTTCCTCAAAGGTGAGGTGAAGTATGGAAGGTGGTGTGATAGCTGGATATTGCCTTAAGACTCCTCTAAAGTCTGCAGATGCCCAGAGAGCGTGTTCTGGTGGTATTAATGACTTAGTGAATTCAGACCTGCCTATTGTCATTAAAGCTTCAGCTCATTATCTTCTTTACAGTCTGTTTTTAGAAGAGTTGCTGGCAAACATTGTAAATTCTGAGTAGCAGATCCCCAAATCTGTGGCCCTGCAATGATTTAGCACGTTGGCAAACAACTCCACTGAAGTCAGAGGAACTGTCTTGTGCTTTCAGTTAGTGGTACTCTTCAATTGCACTGATGAACACTTATTTCTTTGAATTGTCGTTAGAATTAAAAGACAGATTAATTTTATTTTATTCCACAGAGTTGTTTGGTTTTTTGTTTGTTTGAGGTTTTTTTTTCATATTGATTGTTTTCACCCAGCAAAACCTTCGGTGTTGTTCACATATCAGGCTGTTACAATCTGTCATTGTTGGAAGATCGGCCAAATCAAGCTTGCATACTCCTGCTGGATTGTGTTTGCATCCCAGGGGAAAAAATCTGGATATTTCTGATCAATCTTTGAAAATGAGTAGGTTTTGGATAACTACAGTATTTCTAGAAACTTTCTAGAAATTGGCCTACATATTTAACAGTCTCTTTGATCCCTTCCCAACTTCATTCCTTTTTTGCGTTTTTAGTGCCTGCTCATTTCTCCCTCCTTCTGCCCTTGTGGGAATTGTCTTCTATCTTTTTGCAGATGCATTAAAGCAAATTTTGCGCTGTTTTAACAGATGAATATTGCCATAATGTTGGTCTGAGTTAAGGTCTTTCCAGGAGCTGCTGGTCTCCAATGGCCTCCCAAGTCATTCACAAATGGTTCTGCATCCCCTTGTCTCCTGTGATTGGGAGAAAAAAAATCATTTGTTATCTCTAGTGAAAAAATGGCAGCACTACCAGAAACTAAGCTTGACAGGAAAATTCTGTTCCTGCCCTATGGCTTTTTTTTTTTTTTAATTAAGGACAGTTGGAAAAAGAATCAAAAATCAACTTTGAAAAAACTGAAATCTCGTATATTGGGGATTTGGCAACACAAAATGAAAAATTTAGTCAGTAACCACTAAAAAAAAATTCTATTTTTGTTCAGAGAGACAAAACGTTGTTCTCAAGGCACATTAGGTATTTTTGTGATGTTATTTTATTTATTCAAGGATACCATGAAACCATTAAAAAAGTATTTTCCATGGAAAATACTTCTCCAACTCTAAACACAACAAATTGGTTGCAACTATTTTTTTAATTGTTCAGTCTTAAATTATCCTTCAGAACAAATGACAGGCTGGGAAGAAGCACCTTTTGAGCACTTTTTACTATATATAAACTTCTGGGTAGGATAATACAGTTGTTTTTGGTGAGTGAGACTGGGCCACACTCAAATATGAGTGCGGGGAACAAACAGCAGGAGAAAAAACAGGGACAACTGGAAGCATTGCTCCATTCCCAGAGCTGTGATGTCTCTGGGATTAATGAGTCTTGGTGGAATGAGCCCCACGACTGGAGTGCTGGGATGGAGGACTGAAGGCTGTTCAGGAGGGATAGGCAGAGATGGAATGTACTGTATGGAAAGGAGAAGTTGCAGTTAGAGATTATAAAGTTGAGAGCTTCTGGGTGAGGATTAGGGGAATGGAAAACAAAGCAGGTGTTGTTGTGGGTGTACTGTTTGCCCTGCCAGGGTGATAGGGCTGATCAGTTATTCTAAAGGTAACTAGGAGAAATTACATTTCAAATTCCAAAACATTGACTGGGAATATTGTACTGCTGTCATGTACAAGTCTGATCAGTTCCTGAAGAGTGTTGAAGGATTCCATAAGCCAGCTAGGAAAGGTGCCCTCCTAGACTTGATATTGATAAATAGAGAAGGACTTGTGGGATGAGTGATGGTACGAGGCTGTCTTGCCTAAATTTCAAGAGAGCAAAATTAAAGCTACTTAGTGAGCTAGTTAGCAGTGTTCCCTGGGAATCTGCTTTTGAGGGCTTAGGGGTCCATGACTGCTGGTCAGCTTTAAGACCATATTTTAAAAGTGCAGGACCTTGTAATGCAAGCTTAAGTCAAGCAAGTGGGGCAGAAGACCAGCTTGATTGAACAGGGAATTTCTCATGGAGCTTAAGACGAAAAAGAAATTTTCCATCTCCGGAAACAAGGCCAGGCCTCGCAAGAAGATTACAGGGCTGTGACTCACATATTCAGGGAGAAAACACGAAAGGCCAAAGCTCATCCAGAGTTAAAACTGGCCAGGGTTGTGTCATACTACAAAAAGGCTTTTTAAAGTGTCTTAACAGACAGAGATGGTGTATGGAAAATATTGGACCAATACTTGTTGAAGATGGTCACTTGACAAATGGGGATGAAGGAAAAGTGGAGGCCTTTGGTGTTTTTTTTTCCCTCAGTCTTTTATATTAATGGTAGACCTTGGGCTGCCTGGTCCTCTAAGTCAGAGGACCACAGCTGTGGGAACAGAGACTTTCCATTTATGGACACTGAGTTCTTAAGGGACTGTCTGTATCAGCTGAATGTTCCTAAGTCCATGGGGCCTTGGGAATTCATCCCAGAGTGCTGAAGGAGTTAGCAGGACCCCTTTCAATCATCTTTCTTGGGAGTCTGGGGAGGTACTCACCAACTGGAAGCTAAACACTGTTATAAGAATTTACAAGAGGGAAGACTCGGGAAATTGCATACCTGTTATTCTAACCTCAGTTCTGGGAATAATTGTGGAGAAGGTCATTCCAGGTGGAATTGAAAGGCATATAAAGGACAATGAATTAATCAGGCACAGACAATATGGTTTCACAAAGGGAAAGTCCTGTCTAACTAATTTTATACCCTTCTGCTATAAGGTTTTCTGTCTAGTGGATGATGAGAAGGCAGTAGATGTGATTTTTTTTCTGGATTTTAGTAAAGCTTTTGATATTATCCCTCACAGATCCTTCTGGACAGGTTTGACTATGAGATGAGCAGCACATGGAATGCTGGATGAAGAGCTGGGTTGAAGGGGGCAGGGCTCTAAGTGTTGTAGTGGCTGCTGACCTCAGGGCTCAATTCTTGGGCTAGATCTGCTTAATATATTTATCAATGATTTGAATGCAAGAGTTGAATGCACCATTGACAAGATTACTGACAATAGAAAGTGCTGTTGACCCTCTTTATGGGACAAGAAGCCTTGCAGAGGGATCTAGATAGATTGGAGTATTGGGCAATAACCAATAGCATGAAATTCAACATGAAATGATGGGTTCTGACAGGCACAGGTAAAAATTGGGTGAGGTGTGGTTGGAGAGCAGCCCTGCAGAGAGCAATCTGGGGGTGCAGGGGCATTGTGAGGCAGCAATGTGTGCCCTGGCAGCCCCCAGGGCAAAGCCCATCCTGGGGGGCATCAAACACAGCCTGCCCAGCCCGTCAGAGAGGTAAAGGCCCTTCCTGCTTTGTTTGCTCTCTTTATTTCCAGTTACAAAGCCAAAATAGTCACTCTGCCTTTCTATCACCTCCCTGCAGCTCCTAGTTTAGTTAGATTTCTTTGGGATAAAACATAGCAAAATCATCTTTGGCTGAAAGATTGGATATTAAGAAGAGATTCTTCCCTGGGAGGGCGGTGAGACCCTGGCACAGGTTGCCCAGAGAAGCTGTGGCTGCCCCATCCCTGGAAGTGTTGAAGGCCAGGTTGGATGGGGCTCTGAGCAACCTGGGCTAGTAGAAGGTGTCCCTTTCCATGGCAGAGGGATGGATTGAGATGATCTTTAGGATTCCTTCCAACTCAAACTGTTCTATGATTTTATGATTCTATGGTATTTCTTGTATTAACAATTCTGCTCTGAGTTTTTCTCTGAAAGCAGCATTTTGGAAGGGCAACCCATATGTGTTCAGGTGCTTGGTACTATATGGGAACATGTCTTCAGAGAAAACACTTATTTAATTACAGATTTAAACACCTGTGTAGCAAAATCTTTGTTTTTTTCTTCATTTTAGTGGATTTTTTTGAAGGCACCTGCTAATGAACAGTTTTATTTACTCAGATGTATGAAATCACAGAAGAAGGAGGAATACTCAAGACATTAAATGAAGTATGGTGCAAATTGACTGAACCTCTGCAACCTCAGGTGCCACAACAAGAAAATACTAAGATGAAAAACCTGTCCTACCCATTTTCCAGGGAGAAAATATATTTGTGAGTATTTGAAAATGTGGTAAACAATGAAGAAAGCTGTAATTTATCATTTAATGTTGTCATTTTTTCTACCCGTATTTCAGTCAAAATTCAGAAATTCATTGAATATTTCTGGAAATCCTGAGGAAATACTCAATTGTCAGATTTTCAGTGGATTAACAGAAACCTAAGTTGCAGAGACTTCCTTCTGCTGGATAAAACATTGGAAGCAGTGCATCAAATAAAATATCCATGTGTTTAGCTTGAAATGCAAAAATCCTACCACCAAATTCCTGATTATTTTATTCAGGATATTACTGCCTGTTTTGAAGAAACAGAGAACTAGTAAAAATCTGATAATATTTTCTCTCTTGATAGATTTATTATAGCAATTAAAACTTGGCTAATAATATGCAGATAAGGAATTCTTGACACTTGCCCTTTCACTCAGAATAATATTTCTGGGTCCAGTTTGACATTAAACATTCTTTTTTTAACTTGTGAGTGTCTCCTTGTATTTATGTTTGATAAATAAAATTCAGTAATAAATACAATGACCCGCCATATCATTTATTGCCCTCTGACAAGTTTAATTAATTCTGAATACAAGTCAAATTGATGGAGGAGAATAAGCTGGGAAGCTAATTTCACATATGATGATTTTAAGGTTTAAGGGAAGGCATAATTCCAGTGGAATGGCTATTTGAAAGCAAGTGAAATGCTGACTGTTTGGTCACCAGGAAAAGAGTAATGAACATGTGCATTAGGCTGATTGAAACTTAATAACATCACCTCAGAATGTTATAGTGTTGAGGGGATGTTATAAGAAAAATATTAAAAGGTCATATTATGTAAACAATAGACAGGTTATTATTTTATATTAGTTAATAACTGTGCATTTTTATGCCCAGCATAACTGCAATTCAGGTAGAACTCGGAATGTCTGCGTCTTAAATAACACGGTCTATTATGCTGTACTATGTCATCTATATTTTATTTCCTTTAAACATCTGTTTTTCTTATTAGCTGTGGTTTCTAAACGAATTCTAAATTAGAGGGTTATATGTTATCTTAATTATTACTTCCATGTCTCACAACAGAACTGATTTTTTTTTTCCTTTTGATGTTTTAGGTATAACATCAAAGACAAAGACACCTTTTTTGACAACGCCACCCGCAGCCGAATAGTAAGTTAACAAAAGTAACATATTGTCTTCTTATGGTAGGTGGGATTTGCTTTAGCAGTGAATGTTGGTAAATACTTTGCTAATCTCATCAATTTGTGCATTTCTCTGTTCCTGTAAAACACTAAGAAGTCATATGCATGTAAGGAATCCCTTTCTGGAGCTGCGCAGTGGTCCAGGAGTAGGAGGTGTTATACACGGAAACTACTGACTCCTCTCCATTATTCAAAGCTCTTTTAAGCCCTGTTTCTAATTTTTAACCAGATTTTATTCCACAAAATGTATATTCCACATATATATATTCATATAGTATTCAACTATACTTCATACAGTTTTATAAGGATGTGCCACAGCAGGATTTAGCCTACAAATCTTAGGGCAGATGATCCACAAGCAAAACTTGCCAAATGATTTAAATACCTGTGCAAATGAACACTACAGAAGCCACCTATTTTAAAGCTTTGGTTTATTTGTAGCTCCATGGTGAAAGTCATGCCACAAGAGGATTTGAGTGTTATCCCACTGTTCTTTTCCACAGGTGAGGGAAATTTTGAAGCGCACGTCTACAAAGGCCAGGAACAGCATGGGTAAGATGGAGGGAAGGGAGTTATTTGTGAGCCTCTGAAAGGAACTGCTTGGGTATCTCACAGAATATTGATTTTTCTAACAGGACACAAAAGTATGCTGGCACACTTTTACCAAAAAAAAAAAAAAAAGTAGATATTGAAAAAAATGCTTTTTCTGAGGCATAAAGTCAGACTTTTTGGACCATGGTTTGGATAGGACATGGTAATGGGAGATTGCTTTTCATTTCTACAGGTGCAGGATCTGGCACATAACTTGCATTTCATGAATTGTTATAAAATTGGATTTGATTACTCTGTGATCTGCTTTTGAAAATTCAGATTTCAAGTGCAATATGTTGTATTATTTCTTGCAGGAGCATATTTTTCTTGCCATTTCAATAGAATAATACATCTTTCCAGGTTATTTTTATTACTGCAACCTTAAAAATTATCTCCATGAGCTGCCTAGTGAAATATGTGACTTAAATACGACTGTTTTGAAGACACTTTGGGGACAACTGTGAAATATTCAGAGCTATTGTTTTCTTGAGGTTCAGAATATATATAGGTGTGCTTATTCTCTTTTATGCCATCCATTGTGAGATCATGACACATATTTCCCTAGTGGCTAAGAAGTGATGGTGCTCCTTTTCTGGCTCCTTGTCTGTTTTCTGGAAGTCTTTCTGCAAGTTTGACCACTTATGGACAGATCACAATGTCCAAGGATAATGTACCTGGAAAAGAATGTGCTGTAGCAAGATTCTGCACAGTCTTGGTGTGACTTTGTCCAGCAACAGATGTCTTTGGTACAGCAGCTGGGCTGGAAAATAGATTAATTTAGGTTTCCCTGAAATAGAGACACAATTTTTTTTGAAGTTACATGAAAACCAAACCCAAACAAAAACCCCAAAACAAAAAGCTGTCTCTTTTTCAACCAAAAATGCTTGCCTTTTCCCACTACAGAGTTTTAAAGTTATGATTACTACACTGTTTCCTTTACAAAAAAAATACCTGTGCAAGTAGACATCTCTAGAATCTGTTGAAAAATTAAGGTCTTTGGAAGGTGTTGGGGAGAAAGCTTGAGAGAAGCAATCCATCCTACAAGAACACAGTAGGAAGGGAAAGAGCACTTTGTCAGTGTTTTTTGCCTCTCACTTAAAGTTTTGTCTATTTTAATGGCTTGTTCTGGTTTATAGTGTAATAAAAGCCGTTAGTAGAGATCAAAGCACTAGCAGTGATTTTTCAGGATTTTTTTAATGCTAAGGTGAAAATACAGGCTGATGCACTTCAAGCTCAGGTCAGCTCAAGATCCCATTTGACATGAGGTAAATATTTTAACGTTCCCATCCTTTCCATCTTTCTGGTCCACAGCCAAACCATGATTATGCATCATGTTCACCCTAAATTTACTGGTTGTTTTGGTCTTCTGAGACCTTCCCCCAAAAGTACTATGTTTCATATGTCACTAAGGCTTTCCCATTTCTCTGCTCTTAAGCTTAAAACCGCTCACCATCATTGGTTTAAAAGATTTTTTTAAACATAATTGGGTTATTGTTTGTTTTTTGGGTTTTTTTAAGAGTTCATTATTTATTTTGCACAAGAGGCAGGGCAGTGATATTGAAGTACTTGTAGCAGCCTTTGGTTGTCATAAACATGTTTCATGATACAATATGAAGAAAATAACAACACTTCAAACACAATAGCTTATACATTTTTTTACAACTTCTAGGTAATGTCATAAAATGAAATCTGTAATAATGTTTTCTGTTTGTCTGTGCCTACCTGCTGACCATCTGAATTTTTTTTTCATTTAGGTATTAGCACATTAATAGCAAACAATGTTTATGATGCAGCATACCCACTTCATGATGTATGTATACACTATTAAATATTTAGTTCTCTGCTGGTATCACTCAGTAGTGCATAGACATTAATGTTTGTCTGTAACAATGAAAATATATTCTGTGTGATTCTAATATGAAAACTCATATATATAAGTACATTTCAAGTTGTGACCTGAAAGTAAAATCAACAACTCAGCAATCTTTTATTTAGTTTTATCTCCTTTTATATCAGTTATTAAATTATTTTCTTTCTCTAGGGTCATTATGAAGGCCAGAATGATGACATGAATGAAAGAAAGGTAAAATACATTGCAAAATTTATTTAATGTTAGAATTAACGTGATAAATGGGAATTAATGTTCTAAATGCTATTGCAAATCACTAGCCAGAAGGTTCAAGCAGGTAGATGTTTTTACAAATGCATATAGTTTTTGCATTACATATTTTCCTGTATTTCTGCATAAAAAATTTTTTTGCAAGATTTTTATAGAGTCTTCTATGAAGTATGTGAGTAAATTAATTTGATATTTATTTCTTGAGGTGCGTCAAGGTTCTCTCCACATGCATAGATAAGATTTTTCAACCCGTCAGGAAGCAGGAGCTGTTACATAATTTATATATTAATTTTCTTGTCCTAACCAAATGGTACCAGAGAACAGTGTTTACTAGAATAAAACACAGTTTGTATTTTTCATTTGATTGTGCATGCATTTAGGTGGCATGCGATTTCTAAAAATCTGCTTCCAATTATTTTGTAAATAAAGTTTCTATCAAAAGACATTTGAAAATAGATCACCCACCAACTGTCTGCACGAGAGAAACTGTGAATTCAGACTGTGTTTAATACACTTGCTTACTGTTAGAAACGGGGGAAAACATTTAATTACTTCAGTCTATTAAGATCCATTCCATGTTGTTCTGTAATGTTTACTCATTTTATTTTCCTTGATGTTCAAACAATAGGATAGGAAATGAAGAGGGAAAATAGCAGGGAGAGGAAGGGGAGGAGAGGAGAATGAAGGAAAAGGGAATGTTTGGATACTTACAGTATTTATTATACTAGAAGTCAAATTACATATATTTTTGGTGACCTGTAAATTATTTAATAAATGTTTTTAACTCTGGCATCAGATCTTGGTATGAACCATGTGTTCCTTGAAGGAGAGTTAGGAAAATGCCATTAATTGGCAAAATACAGTGTAGTTCTCAAGAGTGTAATTGCCACAAATGATAACTATTTCAGCACTAAAATGGATGCTGAGTTCATAGGTCATACAAAGAAATTTGATTTCTCCAATGCTGGGTTAGTGAAATTTCCAAACATAATCTTTTTTAGTTTTTGGTGAATAATGTTAATATTTGGCCACTAGATGTCTTCATGTACCGTATACAATTTAATTCAGTGTATGAATCTTGGTAAGCAAAAGAGACAAAGTTAGAAAACTAACTATAAAGAAGCTTTTATTTTTGTGCCTGTTACTTTGAACTTTTTTTGTTTGTCAAGAGATTGTCTGCTCTGCACTTACAGAATTTTCTCTAAGCAAGTGATAGCGGTACAGTAGTGAACTCCATGGGTTACTGACTGAGAAGGAAAGCAAAATTTTTGGAGAAGAAAAAAAAATGAACATTAGTCAATGAAGGAAGATTGGGTACTGTGAAATAGTGGGGGAAGAGGACCTAAAAGAACTAGTGTCTGGAAAAATATTCACCCTACTAGTTGTATTTTGTGCTGCCTTCTTTTTATTCTGCCTATTAGGCTCAGTTATGAAGTGTTAAGTATTAAAAACATAAAAGCTTCTTTCCAGAAATACTTCATTGATTATTCACATATGTCACTGCTGCCCAGCCATTGAATCTTCTGTAGTATTCCTATGCCTAACATCATCTGTTTTCTATCTGAATCTACTAGTCTCAGTGTTTAATTTCCTGAAAAAAACTGATCAGGTTTAAAGGAAAGAAGGGCATTTTTGAGCTTTTTTTTTTTTACTTTTTTGGTTTCTACCCCTTTTTCATTTTTACCCGGTATCTTCTATTTCAATTTTCTTTTGTATAAGCCCCAAAAAAATGAACTGAGTCCATCTGGCCTACTTATGCCAAAAAGGCAGCACAAGTAATGAAGGTTTATGTACCAGTTCATAAAATAAAAGGTTAATCCTTATCAACCATCTTTAGGATTTCCTTGGAGAAAATGCACAGTGAAACAACACTTCTGTCACATCCTATGAGAATTAGAAATCTGCAGTCAGTGGAGCCCTTAGAATAAGAGGGTTTCAGTCTTTCCTAAGTCTTGACTGGAGTAAAGGGTTTTCCCTGTTTCAGTGTGATTTCTGCACTAGAAAAAAATCTTTTTAAGAAAACTATTGCACAGCAGCCTGGTAATAACTCACCATGAGTATAAACACTGGCTTGGTCTTTAAGCTTCCAGCCCACTGGCAAATTGTAACCCTTCCTTGATATCCGTATGTTTGACATTAAGAAATCCATGAGGGTTTTGTTACCTGCCTGGGAAATATGACCTGCTGTCATATACTACAGCAACATCCCCAGAATATTAGAAGCAGATTAGAGAATGTTATTATAAACTTACAGAGAGCACGATTTTTAAATGAAGCTGATAAAATACAATAAACTATATTACAAAACTCGTCCTAGAATTCCTTTCAATTTAATAAATAGCATGAAAGGAAGCACGTTCCAGCTTCCAGATTAAGTTAATCTCATAAAATTGCAGTGTTGGGACAGAGGTTTAGTGTGGGCAATACACTGAATGGAAAATTTTCATGCCACTTTTGCTGCAATGGCTTTTGGAATCAGAATAACCAGTGTGATTCTGTAGTGTGACATAATGCCATAAGAGCCCATTCCTAAACAGACAGCAATTTTAGAAAGATCTTTCTTTTTTGCTCCTAAAATTCTGTAGCTGTGTTCAAAACAGCTTTTAGGTAGTTTTAAGAATTTAGTACTTTTAACTTTCGTCTTTCATATATTTGAGTGAATCCATTTATTAATATGATTATTTTTGGAAGTAAATAACATTTTGTAGGTCACGTTGTGGGGTAATGGCAAGGGGTGATTTTGAATGGGGAACAACAAGCATTCATATGAAAATAGCAATATGTCAGCCTCTTCAACTCCTGATGAAGCCAAAGAAAGTCAAACATAGTCTCATCATTTCTTTCCACAATTGCAAAGCATCTGCTCTGTAAGGGCAATATTCTAAAATACAAGACTCCACAATCCTTGAGTCTCATTGCTGAATTCCCAATTGCTTAAAAAGTTTGCTCCTTGATCTGTGAAGAGAAAATACTTCATGCTATACTTTTAATGAGTACACAATGGCATAGCTCTGTACACTTAAATTTTCATTATTCTGAACAATAATACTCCATCAGGAAGATGTTTGCAGAATCCAGGTCTTAGCTGCTCACTTGATATTTATTTAGCTCTTTCACGTAGCATCTGCAGGAGGAGAGGCATTCTAAACAGGAGGAATATATGATTGGAAAACCTCAAAATATGTTGAGATAACTCTGCAGTTACAGTATCTGGACTTTCTCCACACTTATATTAATTGTACTCTCTGCTCCATGGAATGGTGTAGCACTGCTGTCAGAATGGACCATCTCACCATGCAAATTCTGATAATTTCAAAAACTTTATGTATTTTGTTTCTAACACCCTCTGCAGCTCTTACTGGTTGTTGTGTTGCTTGGTTTGTGTCTTACTCCCCACCAAAGTTTACAGAAGAATAGAAGTGTCCAAAGTATTAACTCAGGTTACTTCATATAAACTACAATTTCCATTAGGCAGGTGAGGGACAATCCATGCTCACAGCAAGGGAGGAAATGGAGTCTGAGGTCACAGAATCACAGAATCATTTAGGCTGGAAAAGAAGATGTAAAATCCAGTCTGAACTCTGAGGTTGGACTCGGTTGTCATCTTGAGGTCATTTCTTAGAGTCAGCAGATATTCCACACAGAAGCTCATCCTCAATCACTACTCCAATTTTACTAGGAATGATGTGGAGACATATTTGAAAGGAATTGACCTCACCTCTCAAATCCTACTGTTTTTCTGAACTCCCTCCAGTTCTTTTCAGAAAAGAGGGACAATAGGTTTGACACCCATCTTTTTGGATGATAAAGACCTATAATCTATAAATAGGGACATAGTTAATTTAGTTTCACTTATAGTAATATTGTCTTCTTTTTTAATGCACTCTGTACTTCAATAAACAGTTTTCAATGACCATGTTGTCTCAGACTGTCTACAGTCCTTTCATAGCCAAACATTCTAAGATTCTATGACTGCCCTGATTTTTATTTCCCTCTGAAGATAAAATATGGTGAACAGTCAGCCTACAGATCATGATGATGTTTCATCTGAGCTTCCTTTGTTCTTCACTTCATTCTGGAAAGCTTCATTTGTGGATGTCCTTTCTGATTATCAGTAGATTCAGCCAAAGTTATAAAACATAACTGCTATCAGATTAACTCTTTCACCAAGTTGTTAATTGCATGGGAGTTTCTGTCCACCATCTAGCTTTTGTTTCAGAGTAGTGTGAGCTCCTTCACACCTGAATTACCAGTTTCTTGGAGTAGATATTTGAAGAAAGGTGAGTTTCCACCATACTCCCATTGCTGGTGGGGTTGGAGGCTTCAATAAATGGCTGAAAAGTATACTTGTAAGTTTTCTTCTATAAATGTCTGAAAAACATACTTGTAAGTTTGCATTTGAGTATGGAAAACTTCTTTTTGGTGCATGTATTTTTAACTCTTAGAAAATGTTTGTAAAAACAGAAGGGGTAACTTGTTTTAAATTAATTTTCTGATTTTTTTTTTAAATTTATTTAGTTGCTGTATCGAGAATGGGCGAGATATGGAGTATTTTACAAGTTTCAACCTATTCATCTTATAAGGTAACGTGGACTTGAATAAAACATCAAGGGACCTGGTTCTTATCTGATGTTAATTTCTAGTTACTTCAGCAAATGAAATCTTGGATTGATCAGAACATTAAAAAAATGTTTTCACTGCTTTTCTGTGGTTCTGATGATAGTTTACTGAAACAAAAATACACTAATCGATTATGTACCTCTGTTTTTTGTATAGTGCTTATCCCTGGAAGAATATCATACTCTAGACCGGTTTGGGTTTTTTTAAAGTATTAATTCTATCAAAAGAAAGGAATTTCCATTTACATTGATAAAGTTTTATTGGAGACTATGGTCACAAAAGCTGGTGAATGATCAGAAGCTGGTGTTCACATCATGAATCAATGTGAAAGTATTTGACAGTTTTGAAATTGTTTTGAGTTTTTTACTCCTGGTTTTACAAGTTTTAGTCATTTGAACACATCCATATGTGTTCCCAGTGGTTTTCTTGTATATTTCTGAATTTTTTCTTTACAAACATAGAACAACTTGGTCTTAAAATAAGACAAAACAAACTTACCATGTTTTTTAAGGATTTCACACAATATCTCTAAAAGAAAGCCAAACCAAAACAATTTTTGTTTTATACCATATTGTACTATAATACTACTGAATATTTAAACAATACTACTATAATACTAATATAATAAAATAACACTATTAATAACATAATATAATAATACTATAAATATTGAGTAAAGAGAAGAAATGTTTGAGAAAACTGCTGATTTTAAATATTCTGATATCTTTCTAGGAATAAATGAACTGTGATATTAACAAAGAGAAAAATAAAAAAAACTCAACAAATAGGTGTTTCTAGATAATTTGGGTACATAAGAAAGTTGGCATTTGTTACTATTTATCTTCTGAATAATGAAAGTCCAGCTAGGTTTTATTATATGATCTATTTTTGTGCCAGATTAATGTGCTTTTGGAATAACAGTTGTTTCAGGCCAAGCTACTGTATGGAACAGGTAAGTTCAGAGCAAGATTACAACACCTGCTGTGTTGTTAGTAAATATTACAGCTGTAAAATTAAACTGTCTGGAGGAATCCCCCCATTTTACCAGACCAACTGAATTAAAAGTAAAGGTCCATCTGCTTACACTCCATTTTCATTTGTATTTCGCTGTCTCCATTATAATGTTGCTCTATGCTGATATGATTTCATAGAAATTCTGTGGTTTAAACTTCTGTGAGAAAATTAAAAAAAAGTCCAGACATGTGCAATTGATTCTCTGTTCTCAGAGATGATTTTTCTTGCTTTTATCTTCCACGCTTTGCTTGACTGCAAGTTTGGCTGTTACCACTAAAATAAATGTGGTTTTTATTTCCTAGGTAATGTTAGAACTTTAGTGTATATATACCTGAGGAATGACCACCCCTCTCTTTTTGCAACTGCAGGAGGTTTCTTCACTTCTGCACCGTGGGGGGATTTGAGCTCAATCTCAGTGCAGATACTTATTCCCTTGGCAGACACTTATTCCCTTGGCAGACATCAGTCACACTTTGTGCATTTTGATAATTTACTGTGATCCTTCTTTCTTAGATTGCTTAGATTATACCCAACATTTTTTTCTGATTATGGCAGGACTGGGAAACGTAGCAAGTTTATATTCAGGCTTTGATGGACAGAAGAAGCAGCATTTATTTTGCCTTAAACTCAAACCCTGTTTTGACTGGTGTTTTCAAGTGCATTAACTTTGTTGAAGTATGTAGCTTGAATAATATTCACATCCCCAAATTAATTAGACTTGCTTAGTCTAATTTTTAATACAGCTTGCAACAGTGGAAATATTTTTAACTATTCCTCATTTACCTTTATTCAGTAGGAATGCAAACTGCAAGTCCTTGTTTAACTGAAGTGCCTATCCTGGAAGACTAGATGTGGCACTGTAGAATTATTATGAATTATTCCTGGTGCCTCAGCACCTTGCTTCTGACCACACAGTTGTTGCAGGTTTCTAATTGGCTGTACACCAAAGCTAAAAACCACATATTTGTTATTCTCACTCTTGGCACAGGTCTCTTCTAAGGTCTGATATCCTGAGGGAATTGAACTACACAGTCAGCCTTGGAAAATTTAAAAGTTCTTAATAACAAAAAGAAATAAAAGGCCATTACAATATTCACTGACAGTTCCATTTACCTCTGTCTCTTAATCTGCATAAAGATTTTGAGAGGAAAATCACGAATTATTTGCTAACAGATACCTTAGGCCAGAAGTACTGAGAAGGGTTTACCCTGTCTCTCAGTCGCCCCTGGACTGGGAAGGCATGAGGGATGTATTTACAAGCAGAGGATGAAAGCTGCAGTTCTAGGACATGCAGGGCTCTAGAGATTTGCACCTTTTTTGTCATTCAAGTTTAAGTATTGATTTTTACTAGGGAGGAGTTTCTCTAATGGGCCTATCTTGTAGGAATGCACTTATCAACAGTAGTTCTTCTCAGTCCTTGCCATGTAGCATAAAAGGTGCTATAATAACATCTGTAGTTCAGTGGTCTTCTTCTGTTTTGATGGTTTTCTTTCCTGAAATGAAGATGTGTTCAAACCCAGTTTTTAGCAACTTCTGCAGTGATACTACTGTTGATCCAGAGACATGGAGAACACTCCTTAGGAGTTTTATGACCCTCTGTGACGAAAGCAGGTTTCATGATATTTTTATGTGTTATAGAAGGTTAATCAGAGTTTTAACTATATGATTCTAGAATTAATATGTTGTCCTTAGATCTACCCTCAGGGCTGGCTTAAAAGCCAGGCCAAATTGCTCATAAGTTTTCGAATCTCCAAGGATGGCGCTGACACAGCTTCTCTGGGCACCTTTTCCAGCAGTGCACCACTCTCAGGGGGAAGCAATTTTTCCTCCTGTCCAGATCAAATATTCCTTGATGTGACTTACAGTCATTATTTTTTGTCTTTTAGCAGTTCACCTCTGATGAGTTATAGCAAGTCAAGAAAGTACACAGCAACTATAAGAAGTACAGTAGAATTTATAATAAATTATATTTCTGGTTGTAATGCAAACTTTGTCACTTAGGAGGTCTAAGTGACAGAGAAAGGGTGTAATCCAAGGTTACTGCTATCACAAAGAGGTGGTTATCCTTCTGATACAAAACCTTACTTAACTCCTGGAAAACCAGGAATTTTCATTCTTAATGGACCTCTTAAAGCACCTGCAGGTGGAAACCCATGTAAGAACTGAAATTCCAGGTAGGGGACCATCATTGAAGAGAGAAGGTCCCCTTTTGATGTCTTGTTACTAATATAAGATTACCTCACCATAGGAAAATCAAGCAGAGCTAGATAACTTTTAATTGTGATGGAGCTTATTTTAATACTAGTGCTTCTATAAGGTCCCAGCTAATCCATCTCCTTTTTCATCTTCTAATTCCTATTTCCTGTTTCTAGGACTTCACCAAACTTTATAATAGCTAACAGGCTACATTATCTATAGCATGATTACTTTCAAAGCTCCAAGTGCCTCTTGCTGTAAAGCCTAAAGCTGGGAAGACATGTGGACATTAAGACTATAAATACAATAACTCTTTTTGCAGGAGTAGGTAGGAAAGCGTGCTAACCAAAATATTATTTACGGGGTATAGCCCATAAATCAAAACTTGGGGAGTTTCTGTTGCTCAAACTGTCTACCTAATATATTTCCTCCTTCCTATCTTCAACTGTGTTTTCCTTTGGTATGGAAAATTGTTTGAACTTGGTGTGTAATGGATTCTGGCCTTTCCTTGCAGTGTACCCATGGTGAACCTGCTCTTGAAAGAACAGTTACCAGTCCCCTCCTGCTTCTGCACATGGATGCTGTGTTCCTAAATCCTGTAGCTTGCTCTTCCTTGCAGTTTTTAAAGCAATGACAGTCCAAAGTTTGACTGTCTCAGCTCTGGACACTGTTGCCTTCACTGTCAGTGTCCTGGGGTCTGTGTGGTGCAGGGCTCAATGGATGCAATATGAGGCTCCCAAAGTGTTGTTACTGGTTTGCCTTTTTACCTTTTGCTTCTTTCATCAGTCTTCACCATAGGAAACAAGAATGGGTATTTCTGCTCACCCTACTCAGGGGAGTTTTAAAGGAGAGGTAAAATAAGAAAAGGGGAGATCTGCTGAAATGGTGGGTTTATTGTCTTCACAGATAAGTGTTTCTTCCATGGTTAAGATTAATTTGTGGCACAGCATTCTCCTAACTGTGGCCATCTATCCCACCTAATACACGAGCAAATCACTGCTTCTTTCACCACCATGCTTTGTAGTTGCATATCTTGAAAAGGAACATTTGTCTCCACATACAGTCGAGAATTCCAAGGGCTTGAAAATAAAGTCTGTGGTGCCCCTCCCTAATTCCAGATGTACACACACATGTTGTTCGGTCATTGTTTATCCTAACTTTGAGGTTATTGATCCTCAAAGTGGAGATTCTCCTGTATGCTTTAATTCCTCTCCCTCCCTGTCACTCCTCAGTTATTATTGTTGATTAGTCTGATCTTTATTTTTTGTGGAATGGAACCTCTTGGGCAGAAAGCAGCCCTGTAGTATGTGGTTATCTCATGGGGATTGAACAACCCTTCTCAATGCACTGGGTGCCAGTGGGGTTCTCCTCTTTTTTTATAGTTTCCTTTTCCTTTGAGGGAGGAAGGAGCTTGCTTTCTCTTTGGATATTAGTGACCAGTGTGTTGAGAGTGCTGTGCTTTCCCCCTTAGTCCAGTGAGTTACTGTACCGTTCCAAGACAACGCTGATTCCTGCCATCCTGGAGAGAGCTCCCTTTACAAAGATGCTGAGCCTGTATGCAAGGAATTCTGTATTAGGAAAAAGAGAAAACAGCTTTAAGCCTGGGAAAGTCCAAAGTGAGAAAACACAGCACTAGGCAGAAAAATGCCCATGAGCTCTACCAGTGACTTTGGCAACTGTCCATCGAGCTCCTTCCCAAACCTCTGCCAAGAACATGCCTGAGGCAATAATCTGAGCATATCTTCTCACTTTA